TATAATTATTAATTTAAAAATTTTAATGTTATCTAGTAATATTTGATTTTTATTTTTATCTTCCTCTTTAGAAACTTATTATTAGACATAATATTTTGAATCTAATTGAGCATCTATAAAATCGCCTTGATCATCAAATTAGAAAAAGAAATTTATTATTCAAATTAAAACAAGATTTAATTAAAGTTGTACTATAGACTTTATATCAAAGAAATTATTAAGATTAAAGATAAATATATTAAATATTAATTTTTCAACTTTAAGCTTTTTCTTTATGAAAATTAAATATGAGGATTTTTTTTATATACTGTAAATAATTTTCGATAATGATATCTATTTATAAACTAATGTATAGCATTTAAAAAGCTTGAGGCACAATTCTATTTGATCGACGCCAGTATAAAAGGGCAGATTTTTCATTGTTTTTTTTTCCTATTAGAAGTTCAGTCACTTTATTCTGTCGTGATTTCACTTTACATTATTACAAAATTCAATGATTTTTCAACCTTAATTGGGAATAAAACGAGTACTTTGTTGGCTTATATTAGTGACTCGATAATTTGAAGGTGTAGATTCTTAAAAAATGTTTCAACAAGGCATGGGTTTTTGTCCTTAGTGATTCACCGAACCTTTTGCAGGGACTTATATTTCTATTTATTCAATTTGAACAGTCGTTTCATATGTAGCGGGAACATCAGTTCTCCGTCAGTATGATATCGGCGAACAAGTCGCTAGCGCTGGATTATGGAAAATCTATGCAGGTAAAAAAAAGACGTCCTTGCTGATTGCAAAAGAGTAGTGCCTTTAACGATTGATCCGCTTTAAATAGGAACGAAAAAGACCACAAGTCAAAAGGTTGCCATATTTGTGAGTAATTATTTGAATCAACATATCCATCAAATCATCCTGAACATGCATACATATTAATTCTTTTCAGTTAATAGTAAATTCGATTCATTATGTTTATCCGTTTTAGATGTTCGAGAAAAAATTTATGGAAAACACTTTGCGAAAGGGTTACGAAAGGAAAGAGAATGAGAAAGTATATCAAATTTTAAAGAGAGAGGTAATCATTATATCATAGTCTTCTTATTTGGGATATCATTTCGAAAAGTTTTTTCATTAAAGGACATTCATTTGTTTTACTTAGGCCACTCAACTATCAAGGCTTCGACATCCATCACTTCTAGAGGTGGTCGAGGCAGTGGAAGAGTCTAGAACTGTCATTACATTTGCTACAGAGCCAATATTAGCATCCCTCTCCAATTTACTTGGCAATTGCGACAATCTGTCTCCAGTTCCCGATGATATCAAGAATTTCGAGATGGATGAATTAGAGGTTGGTTACAAGGGAACCCCGAAGGAAAGATATAGTATTCACCGAATGCTGATCATAGAAATATATATATATATTATAGATCCAAAAAGGGCTGTTACAAATTGGAAAAGGTTTACAATTTTGCCATAACGACGCTAAGACTGTTCATTCTAATTTAGTCCCGGAGGCGATATTTGTGAATATTAAGGTATGAGGTTTTCGGTTGTATACTGCCGGACAGATAATATGGTTGCTGAAGTTGAATTCGTTTGTATTTAGGGAGACTGGAAAATTGGAGGGTAACCGATCTCACCCAACTTTATGAATTGTAATTAATGCATTCTACTTTGGAAATACTAATATTTTCTTTGAATTCAGTTTTGGGTTCAGCAACTTTATCAATCCGGATGCTCCTGTTCCATACGAATATCCCGATTACGATGCTCGGATACCTTGTTATGCACAGAAAAACTATGATTATATGGGTAAGTGTTGTCACGGAGTGAAACTGTGAAGCGTACATCTCCACCGATATCGATCAACTAATTCTTGGCACTATAGCACCAGAATATGTTCTGGACGAGACTTTAGAGGTCGCAAACGACATGTTTGCCCTCGGATGCCTCATTTACACAGTACACAGTCAAGGAAAACCTCCAATGGAAAACCACAATAGCATTCATAATTATCGTAGGAATATAGAGAATTTGTCATCAATAAAGTATGACCATCTTCCTTATCATCTTCATGGTAAATATTGAGAATTATTCTTGGCGAGTTTAGCAATACCATAATTTACCATATCTGATGTAACTTTATTGCAGAGGTCATGTTTCATCTTATCACTCGTTATCCTTCGCAGAGGATGACTGCCACAGAATTTCAGACAAGCAAATATTTTGATAACATCTTGGTCTCAACTGTCAAATTCTTTGAGAGTTTTCCAGAAAAGTCAAAGGACGACAAGGCTAATTTTATGAAAGGTTTGATCCGGATTCTGCCTCAATTTCCAGAAAGAGTTTTACTGCGCAAGGTGACAATTATGTGGAATTTTGATGAGCACGAAATCAAATAAACAATAATTACTAAAATTTGATTAATTGATAACCATCCATAAGATATTGCCGTGCCTTCTTCAGGAGATTAAGGATCATAGCCTATTACCATATACCCTTCCAAATATATTTTTTATCGCACAAAAGTTGTCACCACTTGATTTTACCGAAAAGGTTCTCATTCCTTTAAAGCCGGTCTTCGCGATTCCCGAGCCCATGCAAAACATGATTGCGTGCCTAGATAAAATTGAGTTATTTAAGCAGAAAACTTCTTTATCGTCATTCAAAGAAGGTTAGGAATTTGGGTGGTCTGATTGGATTTTTGATAGTTAATTAATGCCATTTCAATTATCTACTTCATATATTAGATGTGATGCCCTTGATTTACAATGCCCTGGAAACCAAGTCACCTGCCATACAGGATAAAGTTCTCAGAGTCATCCCCACGATAATAGACAACTTGGACCTACTCACGATCAAATCCTCCTTGTTCCCAAGGATACAAGTATGCAATTGCGATTTAATATAAACGTATTCAGATGACTTGATTACTTATCGTGTTGGTCTTTATTTTTGTTTTCACGCTGTTCTCTAGAATTTATTTGTTCATACGACAATTTTGTCCGTCAAGGTTACCACCTTGGTTTGCCTTCACTCTTTGGTCAAGTCTTTGGATAATGTGGGTTTATTAACTAGATAATTTGTTGATTTGTGAAGTCTCTTTCGTAAATAAATAACTAAACCGAAACTACTCGAAATAGTTTACAATGACCGAAAAACTAATACCTCTATTAAAAGGAATCAAAACAAAGGAGCCTTCTGTAATGGTAGTGTATCATCCTTATTCTATGAAGATCTTTTGCTTGCACGGATCGAACTAAACAGGTTTTCATGCAGATAACTGCGCTTTCTGTATACGACGAGATGGGTAAGAATGTCGAAAAAGATGTTATAGCAACCGAGATTTTGCCTCAATTATGGAAAATGTCGGTAGTACCAACTTTGAATATGGATCAGGTATTCAATTATCGTTCCTCTTTTCACCTTTTCAATGTGAAAAATAAGAACTAATACGTTAATGATCAAATTTAGTTTCAAAAATTTATGCAAGCTATCAAACAAATGTCCATGAAAGTCGAAGAAGAACATTCTAAACAGCTTAGGGATATCAAAACCATTGATGAAAATGTTACGAAACATCTGGAGGGAGGAAATGGTACTCTTGGTTTTTTACGGTAACATTTTTTTTCCCACAAGGTTTAATAATGCTAATCAACCAATCTGCAACCAGAGAAAAACGGGGACGGCCCTGGTTCCCAAGTTGATTTTGAAAAACTTGTTGGCGTCTCCAAGGGGAGTATGAATAATACTGGTTATCATGCGAATGGAAAAAAGGATTCCGTGGAAGTTGATGATCTGTTTGATGCCCCTCACGAAAATTCCTTCACAAATTCTCGAGGAGCCACTCCGCCAATGACGCCTCAACGGAATTCATTGAGCCTGTCGCTAAACTCCTTTTCTAATAATAAAAGTAACTCACCGGTTCAACCTTTCAGTAACATTACCTCATCACCGCAACCGGCAATCAGCGATGGACAGTTATTCAACCGAAGTTCGACGATCCTCAATTCGCAACCCAAAAACAGTATTCCATCACTTCCGCCACCCAAGAACATGAATCAATTTACAGGATCACAAGTAACCGCCAGATCCTCTACAATTCCCCAGGATCTGTTCAATTCGATACCATCTCCGACTGCATCTAACAGACCTCATTCATTTGCACAAAGCGGTACTTTTGGGTTAACGAATAGCATGTCGACAACTTCGCAGTCGTCGATTCCCATGGGAGCATTTAATAATTTACACACTTCCGTCCAAACTCTTAATTATATGCCACCTCAACCGAAAATGACGAATTTTAACAATCACGTAAATCCAATGACAACCATGAATTTCAACAGCGCAAGTCAACAACCACAAATTACACCAAGCCTAAATCACAGCAGTATATTGCAACCAAATACGAGGTCCAATATGCCTATAAACAATAATTCTGGAAGTCATAAAAAACCCCAAGCCGATCTAACAATGTTTGATCCATATTCATGAAAACAATCAATAAAAGAAACCTCTATTGTTATTTTGTATCATTATTAGTTTATGAACACATTTTATATCATTAATATTTAATTCATATGTAAATTTCGTGAGTTACTTTGGGAAGGGTAGACCGCATTATATATGTGTTATTTTAGATAATTATTTAAATAGAAAACTGCGTTTTCCGCTAATTTTAAATAGGATTCCCGTGGAATTTTGTGTCAAACAGAGGATTCATTTTGGGAGCTAACGTTCGATGATCACCAGATTTTTGAGTTGTCATGCCACCGGTTAGGAACAAATAAAAATCACCATAAGCATACTTTAATTATATGAACAACAGATTTTGGCAACACCCATTTTGTTTCTTTTTGAATGCTTCAGCGAGGGCACGATACTAATATTAAAAAACGAAAAACCTCCGAAGCAGCATTATTCAAATTAAAATTTGTAAATCTGCTAAGACAAAAGAAGAATAGATTTGCGCATACAAGACTGCGAGGTGTTAATGAAGACAGGGATCCGATATGTAGTCGGCCCAATTATCGGCCGTAGTGTATAAACGTTTTGAATATTTTAATTCGGATGGTTTGGTCATAAATAAAATTCTTGCATTCTCTTTAATCATAGTATTTTATGATCACCGCAAACAATTTTTTCAAGAATAATCCCTCTCAGATCATTCTTGCTACTCGAGTAACAACAGATCAAGCTTATTTACTAATATACATAAATTCCTACAAGAAATACTATACATGTGATACCATAAAGTAACTTCGGGGGGGGGGGAATGAATTGCAATTCCAGGGACGACCCGTGGAGCTTGTATACCACCATTCTTGAATTCGTTGTCTTTGTTCAACACTCAAATCTCTTCGGCATCACTTTCCCCGCTTTCAATTCCACCATCATCAATCAGCATCCTGTTGTCTGACCTTCTAATTGGCCTCCCGCCAAACATTTCTTCGTCATCAAATATATCATTAAAATCTTCCCCGCTTCCCATTCCCTTGCCTCCAATCAAACTCAACACCACCGGCAGCAACACAAGCCCATGTAAGGCTCCGACCACCACTATGGCCACATACATTCTGAAATAATATACTTCGAATATCTTACTCCGTGTAAACGCCAAAACCAGTATGCCAAAAAACTTTGTCATCGTAATTCCGGCGAACACCGAACTACCAACATCGACTATTGCTCTATACGCTCTCTCTTCCCTATCTACCCCTTCTCCGCCGACTATAAATGCCCTTACTATGTGCACACAAAATTCTACTCCTATGCCTACACATATCACAAGATTCACCAGACTTACTGCGTTGAGGGAAACATTCCATAACGCCATAACGCCCAGCACATCTACGACTATCATTACAACATGACACACTACAATGAATCCTGTCCACACACTTCCCAAGAGAAATGCGGTGACTGTCCAAATGGACGCGAATGCAAGCAGAAGTATTTCTGCGGCCAGTCGAATGATGTGCTCGTATTGGTCAAAAAATATATAAAATACTGAGTACGGGAACACTTCTACTCCAGGATTTTTTTCTTGAATCAGGTCGCTGATGCGTCGTGCTGAATGATATGCTGATATGTAATCCCTTTGACTTTTCAGCGATGTATGAAATGTCCTGAAATGACTGGCTGCAATAGTCTTGTTGTCTTCCGAAAAACGTATCGCATTGCCATACGCCGCTTTTCCTGCCAATGGACAAAATTCATCGGGCGCTGAATTGATCCATAAGTTTAGGTATCGTGAGAATTCGTCTCCTTCTGGAAATCCTTCCATCGTTATGTTCCACTTTGGTTCGCGGTCCTGGAAACATACATCGCAATCGTTATCATCAATGTCACACAACTCGGTTGGATTCGAATCTCTCTTTATCCTACAGCACATGTCGAGTGAGGGGTTTAACCAATATAAGAAATCATCTATCCACACTGCAGTTGGCTCCGCAATATATGAGACCTTGGGGCGCTTCCGTTCTTGCTCCAGTATGTTGGCCAATGACAGCTGAGAGCATGTACTGAACCTTCCGCACAGAGCCTGCTGCCCTCGAATCTCTGAGGTATTCACGTTCCTGGCAACAAAGTATACTGGCGGGCCGACGCGGAAGTAATCATCTAGATCATCGAAATAATCCACAAGGTAAGAGTCGCTCGGGAGCGCAATTCGCTGGTCTAAATTAAATATTTGGCATTCCGGTGTTAGCCATTATGATTGATACCTTTGAATTTCAAAATCGTACGTTCGTTTTTATTTGAATAAAAAATAAAGGAATAAAGTCAAAAATATTAATGCGACTTGCCTAACCCCAACTCCACGTGTGTCACCAAACTTAATCCGGCCATGAAGAGTCCAATAAAGCACGAAATTATGAAAACCTTGACTTTGCGATTTAATATTACCGGAGCGTAATATTTTCTCATCCACTTTTGCAATCTGCCCTCCCTATCTATCCGACCTGGTGCCCCTTCGATGCTGACGCAGGGGAAACAATCCAATCTGTCCTCTTCTTGCCTTTTGGCATCCAAAGACAAGAATGCTACGAATACCGTAACTTGCAAGGAAAAGTCTACCCAAACCGCGAGGGCCGCGTAAAGGGCGAAATTCCTTACAGCAGGCATGGTGACTATGCCGCCCAAACCAAACGCGATGGTTTCACTTAATGCACTCAAGAGAATGCTGGGTCCCATGCGCCCGAGGGTCTTTGCAACGCGTTCTTCCACCGACTCCCTACCGAGCGATTTTAGTGTCAACCTCTCGAACTCGTGGTTAAGGATAAATATGTTATCGACTCCCACTGCAAGCACCAGAAAGGGTATAACTTCCGCGATAATCAGGGTGACCTTTATTCTTAGGAACGAGAATATCCCTACAGAGGTTGAAACCGATGCCAACACAATAGCTATTCCGCAAATTCCTAGCATGAACTTGGAGTCAATGACGGTGCGCGGAAACGTTGTTGCCATATTACCCAAGGCAAGTGATGCGTAGAGAAACATGACAATGTACGACACGATTATGGTCAAGACATCTGTGTTGGTAGATTTGTTGAGCTCAATCTCTAGGGAACTCTGGCGATTCGATTAGCATTGAAAAATTAAAGTTCAATTGATTTAATTGGTTTGTCAAGAGGCAAACTAGTTTGAAAATTTACGCGTCCAAAAATTACACTAACCTCCGTAGAAAAACTAATTCTTAGTTGCGTCACGTTCACTTCATCATTTTTCCCCTCAATAACGTCACTTAAATATTCTCTTAGTGACTTCTCCCATTCTTCTGCCATACCAACCTTCTTATCGTTCACGTAATTATTCAAAACAAAAGTGAGCACAAATGCTTTGGTCGATAGATAATCCTGACCCTCGAAGCCGCCAAGAATCATTTCAGGTTTCAACGGCTGTTGAAAATCTGGTAAACAGTACGACGGGGTACTCGCGCAACTCAGAAATTCGTCTTGCCATGTATCGGGTCGAAGCTTTTCAATGTCTGATTGCCAATACCCGGCCACCGATTGAACTATGCACGCGTCACCATTCGGATGGAAACATAGATCTCTTAAGGACAGGTGATCAGGGTAAGATTCAAGGTTTCGAATTTGCTGTTCTAATATGAACAAGCTTTTGAGGTTCTCGTAGGTCACGACACTTTGCGATGAGTTTCGATTGGTGATAAAGATCTGTTGAGTCCTATAGAATGGGCCAAAGTTTTCGTCAAAGAATTCCTTTTGCATCGCGGAATCCGAATTTGGCGCGACCCAGAGACGGACAGGATCGGTTTCCACCGCAAAGAATAACCATCCCGTGGACGCCAAGGACACGAAAAGGAAAGCCAAAAATATGGTTTGCCAGGGATATTTAGCACACATGTACCCTTGTTGATAAAAGTATTCCTGAAGGATGGCATTGAGGAAGTAATGTCTTGAGCTTCCCGGATTCAATTGTTCCGCTTCAATTTCCGAAAGAGGAACTCGTTCAAATCCTGAATTGTCTAGTTTCTGCGACTTCTTGTACCATGATCCGACGACCACGATCATGATGAAGAGGATGCCAAAGATTGTGAATATTCCAAAAGACCAACAATCCAGTGGGCCCACGTGGCACGACGGATATTCATCCGGGGTTGGATCGAGAACGGGGCACACGGATTCGCAATCCACGCATGAGCACCGATAACTGACGTCCGTGTCGTTGCACCGTTTTGCCAGATCATTGTAAAGGGTCATGGTATCAGAGGGATCGACGAGCGGAAAATTAATCTGAAAAGGTGAACCCATTGATCTCTCGGTTCCCAGGTAGACCAACATGTCATGATAGTTTTTGGCACCACCGCCGAGAAAATCCATCACATAGCCATTAGTTGCTGTAAATTTAACGTCTTTGCAAGAATCATAGAAACCCCTCCCCTGATCTTCGCCAACAAAGAAATCCACGCTTGTAACGATGCTCTTGTTTTCTCCGGAGACGCCGATGGATGTTACATTTACAAACGTTGATTGATCGGGCGAGCATGTAAAGGTGCAGAAAAAATAAAGAAAATTCTTCCAGCAAGCGGGGCATGAACTAACTAACGTCTCGACTTGTTTGATATTGGCATCCAGGTCTTCAAGTTGACTTGCATCACAACATATTTTCGAGTTCTCGAATTTGGTTCCACAAACTTCGACAAGTTTTGACCTTAGGTCTTCATCAGGCTGTTATGATTGCCAAACAGATGGTAACAAAATAAGAATGTTATGTTAAATTGCTCTCCCTGTGGAGAGGGCAGCGCATAATTTCGAAGACTTTTGCAATTTAGCAGACAAGAAATTACAAGCTACCTCGACTGCAGGTTCGTTGTAAGGACAATTTAACTGTTTACCGAAAATAGATTTTGAACCACACTGCCCACGCATTACACAATACCCCTCGCGATGTATTTCGGACGCAAAAGCGGTGGCCGTGGCCAATACGAACCACACCAATAGCGAATATGAGAAAAGATTTTTCATAATTATCATAGACCAAATAGCGACAGCGTCGATGGATCTTCTTTGCAAAGAAACTCAAATGACGTGTGCTAGCAATAAATTTCCGGAAAAGGATTTTTTTTCGCGAATGAATCGCCAGCTCGTACGTACAATTTTGCTTTATAATCTATCGTTGTGACACCTGATCTGATGATAAATGGTGTAACAGGTGTAACATAATAAAACAATGTTTTTTTCAAAGAATGAAATTCTTGGAATAAAAGATTTTTTTAACCGCAGCATGACAAAAAAAGTTTCACGCAAATTACGTACGTACGTACGCAACCATCGTCGATCACTTGCAGCAACTGGCCCTCGGATTTGATAATTACCTTTCTGGATTTTTTTCCCCTACCGTTACTCCCAATATCGACATGAGAACAATGGCTTCCTCGAAATGTAAAGATCAAGTAGATTATGTAGGTAGCATGCGTTACAATAAGATCCGATGACACGTGTACAGGATCACGGGATTGACACGGATCATGAAATCCACGTTTGCATATGATTTTCTCAAGCTTTCATGTCGCCCGTTTTTGATTCACAGGCTTTCTTCCTTGCGAATATTCCTCCTGAATCAACAGCTTCTAGAGACCCCATAATGTCTTCTCCAGTGAGCATCCCGCAACAACCACCTTCCCCAGTTGACTTCTTATCGTCGACTCCGCCAAGCATTACTCGTGTACTGACTTATACCTCACCATTAGTGCATTTGTTCTCTTACTTTTTGTCGCTAGTGACGTGGTCAACAGGGAATCCCTCGGAATCTTGTCTACTGGTTGCCTCCTGGTGGACTGTGTGCCTGTATCCTAGAGAAATAATAATTTATGGTATTCCCTTGAGCCTCTGTCTCCTGATCGTTTGGCGTTGGGTGGAGAAAGGGAAGAGTGAGAGATTAGGTAAATAGAAGAGAATAAAAAAAAAAATAATAATAATAAAAATAAAGAAATAAACATAGAATCTCCTACCATTTGTAAATATGACTTGCTAAAAATATTATTGTTATCATTTCAGGTAAACCCAGTTTTGCGTCACGAGCAACTTCGCAGGCGGATCTAAACCGAACGGTTCACGAGATACTCATAATTTCCGATAAACTTTCTTCATTTCACGCCTTCCTAAATTCCTTGAATTCCTACATCGATTGGTCAGATCCTGCACAAACCCAAAAGGTGTTTTTCGGTTTGATATACTTGTTCCCTTTCTGGGTACTCATCAACTGGTTTATACCGTTGACATGGATCTTCATAATCACCGTCACTTCTTTCCTGGTGTGGAATAGTCCATGGCTCAGGGTGATCAGATCTGTGCTCATGCAATCTCCATTGTTCCGCGGGATAATTAGTTTCATTCTTGGTTTTATGTCTGGCGGGGGACTAAAACGACAGGGCGGTAGATTTTCTGTGGGAGATTTGATACGAAGGGCGATGGATCAACAAAAGAAGCTTGCATTGAAGAGGACGAGCATTAAAGATAATACTAAGACCACCACAGATTTGATATTCAAGTTTGTCTTGTATGAGAATCAACGCTGGTGGCTTGGATTGGATTGGACTTCTAATTTGTTTCCAAACGAGCGACCTGCATGGTAAATAACCAACCTATCCAATATATCTTTTCACAAACTTTCCTTCCTATTAATCGTTAATTCGCGTTCACAGGTCCGACGAATACCAAGAGCCAACAAATAACAAAGACTCATTTCAGCTACCTCCACCAACCACGAATTATATCCCAACCACCGAAGATCCCAATGCCCTCATCCAAAAGACAATGGAGTGGCAGTGGACCGATCCCGAGTGGGCGATTGATTTTAATGGGGATGTCGACAAAGAAGGATGGGAGTACTATGATAATCGGTGGAAGAGTCCTTCTTCCAAAAGTGGATTCAGAAAATACACTCGTTGTAGAAAATGGGTGAGAGCGGCTAAATTGGTGGAGACGGTACAAAAAATTCAAAAGACTAAAAGCGTGTCTTTCGAAGAACCGGAATCAGAGAAGAATGAACCAGCAAATGAAAAGAATGACACTACTAATCCAACAACTCAAAATGAACATTATGAAAAATTGCAAAATCCAGAAGACATTTCTATTGAAAAAAGTTAAACATACTGTATATTGGGAGTTTAGTTATTGTCGGGCGGGTTATTTAATGTTGTAATTATCATCACCGACCGAATTAATTATTAAATAAAGTTTTCGCTCTATACGATGCGTTTGATTTCTGATTATAATTAAAGAAGAAAGGATGACAATTTAACCGCAGCAAATATTTTGTCGGTGTCACTCTAATGTTGAACTTTAATTGATCTTATGATTTTAGAAAATTATTTCGTGTTTTCTAAATTCGTGTGCAACTGATTAATGTACAAATTAGGCAAGCACAATATTTGTTCGGTGATTGACATTACGCGATCAATGTTATGTTACATAAAAATTTCATTAAACACGCTTTTTTTTTTTTTTTTTTTTTTTTTCTTTCTTTTCTTTTCTTTTCTTCCTTTTCTATAATGAATGCACAATCCGCTTCTCTGTTCACTTGGCCCCAAACATCTTTATTGTCTACACAGCTAGACTTTGGGCGTTTGAGTGGCCTGTCGTATGAGGAAGGAATAAAACATAAGATCAAATGGTCTTCCGCTAACAACCCGACTCGTAGGTTTCCTCATCACTTCTTGCTTTACCATTGTCGCTTCACTTCTCGTTTCTGAAAAATTTTTACGAAAAAGACAAACAGCTTCATCACCTCACCTCACTCACGCAAGTATTTCCGCATACGCGTCGCTATAATCCGACGGTCAATGCAACAAAAGATTCCGAAAATCACAACGCCCTCCAATCGGTAAAGCATGAATAATTTTTTTCTTTTACAAACGCGTATATTTTCAATCTATTAGCTACCTACAACAGGGCTAAACACCAATGTACTTATCATCGTTTATCAGGTTAAATACCTGCAAGAAAGGTATCCCGAATTTGACATTCCAAGTGAATTTCTCGTGGACACTCTAGTCGAAGAATCAAATAAGGAAACAAATTACGATCCTTATATGAGCGCGCAACTTATCTCATTTGGAGACCTTGGACAGACGAATAAGTTTATAGCATTTCCAATGGGACAAACTGGATCAGAATTATGTATGTAACCTATCTTTACGTCCAGATTGTTTGAACATTCGTTCTCATTCAAATCCATGTAAAAGGTTTCACGTCAATGAAATATCACGAAAAACCACAAGGCAATGAGGATATTTTCATCGGGCAATATCAATTAGACTTGTCAGCTATCTCGAAACTAAAATTCAAAACACCTATTAGACAGATAACTACGTCATCACCCATAACCACATCATCGCATCTTGATTCAATATCTTTACCACGTAAGTTTCTTAAACTCAAATATTACCTGTCATTACCTGATTAGCCTCCATCTTGGAATTAAGTCGTTGTTTCTTCATGCAACAAATCTCATAGCTTTAATGGCGGTACGCACGATGACCGGGTCAACTTTCTTTCAGATACTTGATATTGACGTGGAAACGGACAACTCTGTGGAGAAGCGGTTGAAAGCTCTGACGTTAGATGCTGTGCCCGGTCTAGTGTCAGGATCCACTCTTGATCAAATGCACGTTGCCTTTAATCCAATGTTGTACGGAGAAGCTGCTATTGTGGATGCCGGTGGAGGCGTCCACCTGTGGAGAGCGGAAAGAAATCAACAGCCTTTATCGTAAGCAACTCATTAGACCATTCTTTATCTTTCGTACATTAAAATATAACGATGCATTTGTTTGTCTAAATATATCGAAGAAATGTGAATAAATTTGAGGTAGAAAGTATAAAGAGTTCACAAGCTTGGGACTATGCGGAATTGCCGGATTTATGGAGGGCCTGTGAGTTTGCAGCTCACCCTCGCTGTCTTTTAGTCGCTTCTCGGGAAACCGTGGATCTCCTCGACTTTAGAGTACTTTTCAAATTCGGCTTAAATTATGAATATGCCTATTGTTATTCTTTGTTTTCTAATATAGCTTCCTTTTTGTAGGTCACTGTCTCCAACAAAACCACTAATTTATTTAGCGCAAGTGATGGAGATCAAATATTCGCGTTCCAACGTGTTCCTGCGATAAACACGTTTCAATCTATCCTAGCGACCCGAAATAGTGTCGTGCTACTAGATCAACGTTATCCTAACAGAACACTACTCAAGTGGATTCACCATAACGATAAACCTACAGGATTAAGTACGATAGTTGACGGCAAGAGTAAGTATGCGCACAAATTTTTCCTACATATGAGGATGCAGAAAAGGAATATCAAAAAAAAAAAGAATTATTATTATTATTATTTTTTTTTTTTAAAAAAAAAAAAGATTCTGCCATTTTAACATGGACAAGAAATGTGCCAAGGTTAAATGTTTTCCAATTCTCTGCATCTGACCGAGTATCAGCCACCGATTTTCCTATTTCAATTCCATCGTTCCATGAACATCCGACTTTCAGTCGCTCAAAGTATTTAAGACCAACTTTGGCCAATCAACAGAGGCTGTATCAATCGACCGAGGAGAAGCAGCCTCTGAAATTACCACCTTTGGCGAGTGTTCTTTTGCTAAGAAATGACGCCAAATATTGGGAAAGTGACGTTATTGAAAATCCAGTAATGTGCTTCAGCGCCATACAACTTTCACACACGGGAGCTTTATACTCACAGGATTTTTGCTTAAGCCGTGAATCTGATTTTCTGCCGGTGCAAGATAAATTGTTCAAAACTGACGATACGCAAATTATTAAGATGCCGGACTCTGTAATGGCACTTCAAGTCTTGGCAGATAAAGATTTAGGGATTAATCCTGAAATGCAACTCAAGCGACATCGCATTTGGCCTTTTGACAGAATATGGAATTGTGAGTATTCGCACAAAGAATTAAACATTTAATTAATGCAACCTTTAATTATTTTCGTTTATTCGCGAAGATGCCGCCAGAGAATTTAGGTTTCCTTTTTATAATGACACAAATTCCAAGGCCCTTGGAATATATTCAGCTTTTCTGTCCTGGGAATCTGTGGAGACGTATTTTAAGGATTATGCACAATCTACTGGTTTCGGGTGCGGAAATAAATCAGTGGTCTATGACATTTTAGGAAATGTACTGTCAATGATTTTTTTTTGCAAGGATGGGAAACTACTCGAAAATCCTAATGGATTTGGACCTAAAAGATTTCGCCCTTGTGCATGGAATGTCACCCTTCGTCGTCAAAAGTATGGCGATCAAATATTTGTGACGAATATAAACAGTCAGCATAATCACGAATTATTTTCTGCTTTGTATCAATCGGAGAGATTGAATATGTTAAATACGGAAAACATTCCACTCAAGAAAAACATCCAACCTACATCCAATAAAGATGTTAAGGTTCAGCGAGCGAAAAGAGGAAGTCTACCACATAAGAAAATTACTCGGAAACGTGGGAGGCCGAGAAAGAATCAACAGCCCGAAATCCAAATATATGATTTCAAGGGATATAAATGGCGGATTACAAACGAAGACATAAAGGCACACTATAGGAACCTCGATGGTATTTTCTGGAATGTTCTCAGCAATATCAACAACAATGGTCAACTAACAACACTGTATCCTTTAGCATTATTTCTATAATATTACCTCATTTAATTTAATTTTGTTTGTTTTATCAACTGCTTAATTCGTATACCAGATATGAAATATTAAAGAATGCAATGAATAACTCATCACACGGAAGATTTCAAGTACTTGAAAGTGAAAATCCAGAAAAGATTATCGATTGGAGTAGCGCTGAAGTCGATATAGTATTGGAGAAGATATCAAGCTTCTATGATAAATTCAATCCAATATCCATTTATCCACTTTCTTACGGATTTCCTTTAAATGCTAGTCCTTTAAGTGGTGTTGGCGATTTGGTCGGAGAAATTAAGAGAAACTTAAGAAAACATTATCCATTGCCTGTATTGAATGTTACTTGGGCTAATGATGATTACCTACAAAGAATCGAAAGTGACTTCTCAAATGGCATATTTTTTTCGGATGTCGACGATAAAATAGAAATACTTCGAGACCTTGCCATAGATGAACTTGCGCACGATCTCGGCTATAGTTCATGTGCTTTGGCATCAAAAAATAATCGACCTTTCGAAGTATCTTTGTCCTCATATTTTCTCCCGACCTCAAAATCGACACCTGAAGCAGCAAATCTTGAATCTATTGGAATAAAATGCGCACATTCAAAAACGATTTACAAGAATAAGGTTATCTTAGAAAAACTTCTATCATTCAAGCTTACATCATTCGCACAATCATTGCTGGACGACTGGGTAATAGGTCAAGATCCCGTTGAATGGAAGTATCATTATAATATTGATGAATTCGATATCGAGAATCAGAATCAGGATGAAGATGATGAACATCAGTCATCTGCACTGACCGTTATCAGAGATTCAGTTTTATCAGAAAATGGTTCATTTAATGAAGACGAAGGTTTTGACGATGCAGGAAGTCCGATTCATTCGCCGTCTTCCTCGCTTGATAGCTCAGTGAGTCCCGTGATAACTTCTAGGCACACAGATGTATTAGAATCTGGAGAGTCTGTGAGTTCCTCCAAGAATGCAAGAATTAATGAAGATGACGTTACGGAACATAAACCAAGGAAGAGGTCAAGAATGTCTGGATTTTAAATGCTAAAATCAAATGGTAGGCTCATTAATCTGTGGTTATAATGCTTAACTCATATCATTGACACTTGTGATATTATCATTATTTTTTTCTGTCTAGGAACAAGCACCTTTTGCATTATATATTAAATGTTAGGTATGTAATGTTTCCTTTAAAAGTATTTAGATTATGTAGAGACTGGCTGAAAATACGCAAAGCCAATCATCTTTAATGTTGGTTTAATAACTTTACTTTCAGTTTTGTAATTAAACTTATTTCAAATAAAAAACTTGAATGCAAATTGAAAAGTGAAAATTTATTAAATTTGAAAATAAATATTTAGAATGAAAACTTGATATAAAATTATGTTATGCAAGGTATTGTTTTATACATGTGATAGAATTGTTGATCTTATTATATATAATTTTACTATTAATTGGTCTTATCAATTATTTAAAGTTTTTAAAATTTGATTTTATAATATATATAATTGTCTCAATAAGTATTATTTTTAATAATCTAATATATTGTATTAAAATATTAAAAATTTAAAGCTAAAAAATTTTAATATATTTTTATTGATGGCATATTAATATCACTTTATATATACAATCATTAAAAATTTTATAAACTTTTTAATATATGGCAATTATTTTCAAAGGTAAGCAAGAATTTTTAGATTCTATAATTGTGATCCTAAAATTTGCATTATATATATATCCAAAAGTAAAAGTTGAAAAATTGTATTTAATATTTTGTCCATTCTTAAAAATAATTGTTCGTATTTTAAATTAGATTCAAAAAACAATGTTATTTTTTTTTAAATTTTTTTTAAAATATACAAGTATACAAGATAAAATAATAATAATAAATAAATAAATTTAATATTTTTTAAAAACTTGTATTCTAACAATTTAAATTATTCTTTTAAAAATTAATATTAATATAAAACATTTTTTATTTTTATTTACAGTTACTTTTAAAAGTGGGTTTATTTATTATGCTCTTATTTGAAATTTCAACTTTATTAATTTTTAAATTTTTAATCATACAATTAAAAATTATAAAATTTATATATATTATATTTTATTATTTGTTCTATTTCTTATATTTTTTTAAAAAAAATTTTTTATAAATAAATTAAAAAGGTTTGTTATTGTTAAATAATTTTTTTTATTAATTATTATATGATTTATAATAACAGTTAAACAAAATTATTCAAAAGTAAAAATTTAATAAAAAAAGATATTTCAATAATAAGAAAAAATATAAGAAATAAAACTAGCATTAAAGTA